CGGCAGGAAAAAAATGGCGGCGGTAGGCTGTGTGTGTAGACGACCGCCTCGAACACGCGCTGCCTCTCTCATTGGGTTCTTCGGCGCCAGTTTTGCATTTCCGGGCTTTTCAGCCAATCAGACGGGACCTAGTCCCGCCCCTGCTTCCGGCCACGGCTCCTCCCCTGCAGCAGCTGCTCCCCCCACACACACACAGAGGGGGTTTCCTGCCGTGTGGAGACACCGTTTTAAGTCAGTTTTGTCGGCTGACTCAAAGGACATTTCATGTTCGTGTAAGGAAATACCTGGTCCTTCACACATACCTCAGCCCTGTTGCAGAACAGTGCTGTCTTGTACTGCGAGAAGATATTACCCATAAACTGAAACTAAACAAAATCACTCTGATTTCTAATTCCTCTGAAGCTTTGTATGGGTTTTTCTTGCTTTCCTTTAAAGGGAAACAAAAAGGATCGAAAGCAAATTTCTTGGGAAGGCTGATCTCTGGACGTTTTGAAAGGAAAGGAGTTTCCCCCTGATGTCACTAGCTGTGTTGTTTTTAGTACCCCAATGTGAAGTTTTTACTTTACCATTGCTAGTAAGATCGTTTTCTAGATTTTCTGTTTTCTTCTTCTTAATGTAGAAAAACAGTAGAGACTTAAACTTACACAAATATGGACATACTGTGATTTATTTTGTATGATTTCATAACATACTGATAAGATTTCAGAATTTATGTAGTGCCATTAAAAGTATTTCTATCAGGCCAGTGTGTAACAGACAGATTGATTTTTAGTTGAGAAGAGCAACTTAGGTCACTGTAATCTGAATTTAGGTTTTCATGCTGCCACAGTGTTGCTCTAAAGCATGTAAGTGTGTCAGCTCACGGCTACTCAGGTGACAGGTGTTTGAAGCATACTCACAGCTAAAATTTTACAATACTGCCTGGTTTGAGCCAGGATAAAGCCAGTTATTTTTCTACTGATTTTTTAATTTAATTTTTTTCTTAAGTGAAAATGCTTCTAAGCAGCACACTTGCTGAAATTAACAGCAAGGTTTGCAGTTAGTGGACTGATAATGCCCAAATGTTTATAGTTACTGCTGAGAGACCAAGGACACTTTGATCCGCTTGTTGAATCTGCTGCTTGGGACACTAAAGGAACAGAAGTTGTATCTACAACCCTCCAGGAGGGAGGAGCAGACTAGCCAGATGCCAAACCTGGCCAGAGAGAGTAATCCATCCCAAGTACATCATTATTGGTATACATTCAGGGATCACAGAAGTCAAGTCCCTTCTTCCATCCATGGCCAGCGTCCAAGAAGGATTCCATCTATTCATCTCCTTTGATCCCAGGCATTCCTGACCCTCATATCTTTACCCTTGGCCCCTGTCTGCTCTGTCTCTGGAAGCAGTCCAGGACCTTCTTGGAACTGCCCGCAGCTCAGAAGTACCCTGGGAGTTGCTGGGGGTGGGGAAAAGTGGTAGGGGTCTTGTATACTCCTGTGCATATTTGTATATATATATTTGTACATATTTTCTTTTATCATTAGTATTTCATTAAAGCTGTAGAGTTTAGTTTTCAATCCAGAAGCTTGTCTCCTTATTCTGTCCCTTCATTCCCCATCTGAGTGGGAGGGGGAAGGGATAGAAACCATTATTGTCACTCATTTAATTGTCAATCCTGTGCCAAACTGTGACAAATACTTAAATTAATGAAAGAATTGTCATAATGTTTAGACAGTACAAGTTATTATTATCAGTAGAAACTGATAGCCTGCCTGAGCTACAGGCAGGGAGTTTTACTTCTTTTGTAACTGAGGATACTGGGGCAGATGCCCATCCAAATGAAGCTTTGTATAATTATTACATATAAATTATTGTGATTTTTCAACACATGAATCCTAGAAAGAAGGTGAAATATGGAGACAGAGATCCATGGTTATTCAGTAAAAAATATATATCTGGCTTGAAATTGATGCATAATTGCTTAAAAATTCCCATTGCGTTTGAAGACTATTCCTTAAAATGTATTTATTGCACTGCAGTCTGAGAAAATCTGAGCACAAGCATGCTGATAGTGTGCCTCAGACCAGGACTTATCTTTGGGAGATAACAAAACAAAACAAATTAATGAATTAAAGAAAGGAGAGGGAAAATCCCTTTAGGTTTAAAAGTCTGTTGCTGTTATTCCTCTGTACTTTTCTATGCAGGTAAAGTTCTCATTTCAGTTACACTTATTCATAGTGGTCAGAAGTGAGGGTTTGAGACCTCAGTTTAGAAATGCTTCGCCTTAGTTTTTATGCTTTTAACATAACTTTCTGTACAGATTTTTCAACTTTTAATTGGTAAGTTCATTTATTTTATGCCTGCTTCTATCAGTTAAAATTATCTTTAGTTGTGAGTGTTGGCACAATTGGCATTAGTGGCAAGATGGTTAACTCCTACATATGATACAATGCAGAAAGGTACCTACTGTAAAAAATGCAAGCTAATAGAAGGCAGATACAATATAACTAAGGTTAAAAAGGAGATATTTGTAGCAATACAGTGTGCCTGAAATACATGAACAATAGTGAATTTCAATATTATTTTATTTTGTATGTGTAACTTCAACAACTTCAAACATTTCTGTTTGAAATCTTAGATATATAAACAGATCTATCTGCTTTTTGGTGTTTTATTGTATTTTACCAGGGTGGGGTGGGCAGGGAATAAAGGTAGCTTTTTATTGTGATAATGGTATCCTGCCATAATGCTTCAGTACTGGTGTTAAATTGCTGAAGTTTCATGGGTAAATGCAAGTGCTACTCAACACTATTAAGTAATTTGTAAAGTTGCTTGTCTGTTGCTCATCTCACTTTCTACCTTCCTGCCTCTGACGGTTATATCTAAATTAACCACGATAAGATAAGTACATGAAATAATACATAACAGTAAAATAAATTAATATGTTTGTACAATTTGTTCAAAATAAACTTTCTCTTCCATTTGTCTCTTTGTACAGAATCCAGCCATTCCCATGCAGAAGCTTCAAGACATCCAGAGAGCAATGGAGCTGCTCTCTGCATGCCAAGGCCCAGCAAAGAATATTGATGAGGCTACCAAACGTAAATACCAGTTTTGGGATACACAACCTGTACCAAAACTTAGTAAGTTTAACTGGACCTGGGCGTAAGATCTGTTTTACTGACCACTAAAAGAATGTGTGCCAGCTGTGTAGCATGTTCTTTAAAATGGGTAGGAAGTTGGATTGTGTGCAGTAGAGATCCTTAATCTTTTGTGTAGCTTATGTGGAATTCTTTGTCCTCTAGAAAAGTGCTTGCCCCCTCCACCGTCCAAATCAAATGCAACAAAATATGGTGTTAATAAATCTCATTCTGATATTCCCTATAAAAATGGGAAATGCTATTGATGTAGCATTCCTTTGTATATTTTAGGTCTGAACTCTCAAACAACAGAATGTAAAAGGAAGTCTTTTCCACTTCAGGAAAAACAAGAACTCTTAAGTGGTGACAAGGAGAAAACTATTCTTTTTTTTTTTTCCCCATAAATAGATTTGCTATCAGTAGAGACTTCTGCTGTGAGTTACACTGTTTTCATGCAGCTTTAAGTGGATGATGGTGCTTCTCTCACGCGTGAACACTTTTACTGCTTTGTGTTCATGTGCTTCCTCCACAGTGAACACTATCTTGAGGACATGCTCTCTCAGAGTTTATTCTCTGTTCTTGGTGCCAAGTGAGATGGTGAGATGACCTCTCCTTGCTTTCAATTTTGTAAGGAATTTGGCAGATTACTTTTGATACCGGTCTGATCCCTGATAACACAGTTGGTAAATCTTAGACTTTGTTAGAGAAGATAGTTGCTGACTCGCTTGCTTTTTGTGAATTGCTTTCTGAACCTTCTTCTTCCCCTTCATTATCTTCAAATTAAGCAGTTGTAGTTCTTCAGTCCCAATGAAACTTAGGGACCCCACAAGTAAAGCAGTCTCAGTGCAATAGCTGTCACTGTTCTGTTCTGCAGGTTTCTCTCCATGGCACTGGAGACTGGTGTAAAATAAGCAGAATGAAGGTACAGTCTAAAGCACAGGAGCAATCTGCTTGCTCGCTCTCTCTCTCTCTCTCTCTCTGCAGGACAGCTTTTCACATTAATCCTTTTCTATAGTTTAATCCGTAGTGATCTCATTTCTCCCTGACTTATCTTGCATAGAGAAGTCCAGAGCAGAGTCCCTGGATGTAATATTTTTTCCACTGGATTGAACTGGCTTGCACTGGCACTACACCATACAAATTCTGTCCAGATAGCTCTGTAAACTAATGGTAGTAATTGTTACAGTAATCTTGCCCAGGTGGAAGAAAAACCTAGCTGAAAAACTTGACGTGTAAATGAACAAAACACTCTGTCCATAACAAAGCTTTATCAGAGCAGTTCAGGTGTCTGCACAGCAGTTCCAGAATTTCAGTTCAGGATATTCAGTGTGTCTTGCAGTGATTCTATAGAGATGAGAGTCTGTCACTTGCCAGCCTGAAAGGACTAACACATTGTCTCTAAGAATGATTTGCTAGTGTTGTTCAGTAGAAATATGCTTTGTTGAGTTTGGCTGGCAGAAGTTTTGTTCAACAGTGTTTATTAATTGCTTCTTGATCCCGTTGATTATTTTTTTTAAGCTTTTCCTTTATCTGCTGGATGGACATACTGGGAGAACTTCACTATTTGATGTGGTAGACGTGTTTAGGAGGAAAAAAATTTTCTGTTGATGCAAGAAATAGCTGTAGTGATCTTTGCATTAAGTTGACTTCAGAATCCCTCTGTCTTCTAGTTAAGGTTGTTAGGAATAGGTCCTTTAGTTAAGCTAAGTCTGCAATGTAGTGGCAGTAAAATTTAGGCTGCTGATACTTTCCAGGGTTTGTGTAAAGATGCTGGTAATGATGACTTTCCAAACTGGACAGCAGGCCATAACTATTCATCAAGATTCCAGATCATTTGGGAGAAGTTTGTACTACAAAGGAACGTTTGTCTGTCTAGAGCTTGGTGAAGATGATGATAGGGTTGACCTCAGTGCTGGGGAGGGTTATGGACTAGATTGTCTTGAATGCCATCACATGGCACCTATAGGACAAGGCAATCAGGCCCAGTCAGCATGGGTTTATGACAGGCAAATTCTGCTTAACTAACCTGATCACCTTCTATGACAAGGTGGCCTGTTTGGTGGATGAGGGAAAAGCTGTGGATGTTGTCTACCTAGACTTTAGTAAAGCCTTTATGATGTTTCCACAGCATTCCACAGGAGAAACTGGCTGCTCATGGCCTGGACAGGAGTACTCTTCTGCGTAAAATCCTGGCTGGATGATTGGTCCTAAAGACTTGTGATGAATGGAGTTCAGCCCAGTTGGCAACTGGTCACAAGTGATGTTCCCCAGGGCTCAGTGTTGAGGCCAGTTCTCTTTTATATATTTATTAGTGATCTGGAGAAGGGCATCAAGTGTGCCTCGGAAAGTTTGCGGATGGTGCCAAGTTGGGTTGGAGTGTTGATCTGCCTGAGGGTAGGAAGGCTCCACAGAGGGACCTTGACAAGCTGGATCCATAGACCAAAGCCAATTGTATGAGATTCAACAAGGCCAAGTGCTGGGCCCTGCACTTGAGTCACAACAGCCCCATGGAACACTGCAGGCTTGTGGAAAACTGGCTGGAAAGAACCTGGGAGTGTTGTGTTGTTTGATAGCCAGCTTGAATATGAGCTAGCAGTGTGCTGAGATGGCCAAGAAGGCAAACAGCATCCTGGGTGGTATCAGTAGTAGTATGGCCAGCAGGACTAGGGAAGTGGTTTTCTCCCTGTACTTGGCACTGGTGAGATTGCACTTCATATACTGTGTTCAGTTTTGGGCTCCTCACTACAAGAAGGACATTGAGTTGCTGGAGCATGTCCATAGGAGGGCAATGGAGCTGGTAAAGGGTCTGAGTACAAGTCTTATGAATTGCATCTGAGGGAACTGGGGTTGTTTAGCCTGCAGAAAGGAGGCTCAGGGGAGACCTTATAGCCCTCTGCAATTACCTGAAAGGAGGTTGTAGCAAGGTGTGGGGGTTGGTCTCTTCTCCCAGGGAGCAAGTGATAGGAAAAGAGGAAATGGCCTCAAGTTGTGCCAGGGAAGGTTTGGATTGCATATTAGGGAAGATTTCTTCACCCAAAGGGTTTCCAGGCATTGGAACAGACTGCCCAGGAAACCCTTTGAGTCAGCATCCCTGGACGTATTTAAGAGACATGCAGATGTGGTGCTTAGGAACATGGTTTAGTGGTGGACCAGGCAGTGTTAGGCTACTGGTTGGAGTTAGTGACCTTAAGGGCCTTTTCCAACCCAAATACTTCTATGGTTTGGCAGGTGCTGCTCCATGAAAGAGGAACAGCATCTGTTTATAGCTATATACTGAAGAACCATGATTTTAAGGGCAAGGGAGAAGAAAGCATGCTGTCATGTAGGATTGTAGGAACAAGTTTCACGTTTCAGCAGCCTCCCTTTAAATGCCCTGGCTTTGCCATTCCACTGCTCCTCAGTAATCCTGTTGAGTTCAGGTGTGTTCAAGTCAGTGGCAAACAGGATCCGAGCTTGTTGGCTGTGAGTAGAACATGTTTCTCGTGAGGAGACCGTGAGTCTCATGGCTGGCTAAATGCTGTGCATGTGCTTCTAAATCGATGTCCTGTGTTATGAAATACTGGGTATTAATTGAGGTAGAGTAGTTCTATGCATATATATAGATATTCTGATGAGATAATAGTTAGTCTGACTGCAATCTGTGAGAATGAGAAGTGTTATAAGCTAATAATACTAATTCTTTTTTCAGCATTTTTAAAAGCTTCCTGTTTCTATCACATAATTATGAGAAAATACCATTACATGAATTAAATGCAGTTTTGAGAACTATGAGGAAAGCCAGCAATGTAACTGTTCTTTTTTTCTTTCTTTTTTTCCCTTCTGCCTCCCTTGAAAGATGAAGTTATAACTTCACATGGTGCAATTGAACCAGATAAGGACAATGTCCGCCTAGAGCCATATTCTTTGCCACAGGGTTTTATGTGGGACACATTGGATCTTAACAATGCTGAAGTTGTAAGTAAAACAATTTTTATGTGTATCTGAAATCATTGAAGCTTATTCTGATTGATGTGTGTCAATAAAACTGGATTTTTTTGTGTTTTCAGCTGAAGGAATTATACACACTGTTAAATGAGAATTATGTAGAAGATGATGATAATATGTTTAGGTTTGATTATTCACCTGAATTTCTTCTGTGGTGAGTAGTGAGTTCCACATTCTGCTAAGGCTGGAGTGCAAAGAAGGGTGTTTTAATGACATCTTCTTAGGCAGTAATTTGTAATTATTTCTGTCAATTCTAGGGCACTACGTCCTCCAGGTTGGTTACCCCAGTGGCACTGTGGGGTTAGAGTGTCTTCAAACAAAAAACTGGTAGGATTCATAAGTGCCATTCCTGCAAATATTCGTATTTATGACAGGTAAAATTACTGTTACTTTTGTATTTGTAAAATAATAACACTGTGAAACAAATCTTAAACTGATACCCATTGCCATAGAGATCTACAAAAGAGAGGAGGCTTGGTGACCATCAAGAGTCAGAAGTGTCCTGAGTATTTAGCAGAGATTTATTTTTTTTTTACCCTCTCTTTCCCACCCCCCACCCCCAAAAGACTAGTAATACATAAGTAAGGAATTTTTCTTATTTATGGATGATACAGATAATGATACAGAATTTTCTGACCCTACTGGAAAGTATTTAAAGGATAGTCAATCAGCTGGACATCCTTGGCCAGGTCTTGATACACTGACAGTCTGAAAGTATTATGATACCATGTAGCCTGTGACTGGATGCCATTCTGCATCTTAAAGTAAGGCAGTTGGTTAAATCTTGATAGAGTTCTGAAAAAGGAGTGTTGCAAATATCTTAGCCACAGCTTTCATATTGAATAATATGCTATTACACTGTCATAGCATAGATGAGTATTTGTTGCAGATGTACTTTGTCACAGGCTAGTTTATTTTTACCTCAAATTCTTTGGTCACAACATGGGAAACTACAAATACGAAAATTAAAATACACAATGTGCAACTCTTTTTTACTTTTTCATTATTTAATGTCCTTTTAGTGTGAAGAAAATGGTAGAAATCAATTTTCTTTGTGTCCATAAGAAACTGAGATCTAAGCGGGTAGCGCCTGTACTGATTCGGGAAATTACCAGAAGAGTAAACCTGGAAGGAATTTTTCAGGCTGTTTACACTGCTGGAGTGGTACTCCCCAAACCTGTGGCCACTTGCAGGTAACCTAGGTGATGTTCATCATAATATCAGTTCCTACAGCAGTTATTTAAAATAACATTTTGTGCAGTTGGCTAGAAATAATAAAAGTGTAAAATTCAAATAAATTATATGTTGTGGCCTTGAGTACGTGAAGGCCTGAGTGTTTGTCAGGGTGGTTTGCTTTGTAATTCTGGTTCCTGCCCATCATCCCCCCTCCAGTGCCTTGGATAAAACAGCTTTTTAAATTATAATCAAATTTTGTGTTTGTTTATTGTACCTTAAATAGACTAATAGATGTTTCTGTTGACATTCTGGTGGAAGCCAAGCTAGCAGTGACAACACTGTATACCTGTGTTTTTCAAGTGGCCTGTTTCCCTGCTGGGACACTTCCCTGTTGACCTGGTTGCTTGCCAAAGATGGCAGATCATTTCTGGGAATTGTATAATTTGCTTTTTTTGAAATACACTCTTCTTCCCTGGAGAAAGGAGAACTTGATCAGCATTTAATAAAGTTGGGAAAACTATCACGTGAGAGGAGTTCTGTGTAACCACATAGAATCTTGTTTGCTTGGAGTGTTTTTTATTTCTACTAGGAAAAGTTAAGTTTCAGCAGTGTTAGTTCAGTTGTCTATCCTGGAGGACAGGGTGCTTTTTCATTTCAAGTTGTGTTTGTACCTATCAACACCCAACACTTGTAAGTTTCTCTAAGGAAAAAGCCAAAACAACCAAGCTGTCTTAGAGTAACCAAGGATGTTGCACAGTGATCTCCTAGGAAGAGGAGATCTCCTTCAATGAACTCCTTGGACATGAGCAGAGGGTCCTGTCTGTACAATAAAATAAATGTAACTGTGTAGGTATAGTGAGATTGTCAGGGCTGTGGCAAGTGCTAAAATGTTTAGCCCTGTGATTACTCATTCTGTAAAAAAAAGCATTTGCTTAGAGTCAAAGCATGGTGATAGCAGATATCTTTAAAAGCCATTGTTTGGATATAGCTTTTCCTTATCTTTGAGTGCTCAAGCTTCTTGCAGACATAGTACAGGC